TTTGTTTTCGGCAACATAAGAGCAACATGACGATAACAAAACAAGACACCGATGTCTGTACTTCTGTTGTATGGTTGGTAAAAACTGTTGACATATATTTATTCTATCTTGTAGCCCATTAAATGTCGAAAACGAATGACCATCTTTTAAAATAAGTAGACAAAAATAATTATATTTTAGTAAGGAACAAGTAGTCTTGCGGACTGAGTGCAGGGATTGCAAATATGAAGGTCTCGAGTTCAAATCCCACCCATCACCTTACGATTTTTTCCGAGTCCGATACTTTTCATCGAGTTAATCAGTTGATCGGCGAACTAAATCAGATCTCCAAAGATTAATTTGAGTGAAATCTCGAATTAATTAATTCCCCTTTCACAAAGCGATGTGTCAATGAATATATATTTGTCCGTTTTCGATATATTGTATTTTTGCTGAAATTTATGACGTGTTGTTGGCAACTTGTTGTCATGTTGCTCTTTATGTTAGTGATAAACCGTTGACAGCAAATATACAGCAAGTTGTCGGCAACACATGTTGAATACGTGTCATGTCAAACCAAAGACAAATGTCTGACTCACCTTGTTCTAAATTTGCTGAAAACTCAAGCGTTTTGTTTTCGGCAACATGACAGCAAAAACACAGACAGGTGGCTATCAGGGAATATATATAACGTCCTTAATTTGTCATGTATAATTATATATAATTTTGCGTAAGTCTATATAATGCTATATAATTGTATTCAATATTGTACAACTATACATAAGAAATTTTTTACCGGGATAGTTGCGCACCTAATATAATTATTTTTTATATTATTTATGTAGGTTACTTAAATGAAAAATTGGAGAAGATTTAGAAAAAAATTTTGTCAGGCTTTACCAATTTAAAACTGAAGAACCTTGCAGTTGTGCCATATTTACATCCAATTTCCTTATTATAGGATGTCAAAAAATTTTCCAAATCAATTTAAAACTTGATACTGTAGTTAATGAGAGATTAATCATATATTACATACGACTCAAAGCTTTTTTATGTTTTTAACAATGACAGTATATATTTTTATGCATAATGTAGAATTTCCTGATGACAAAGCTAAACTTCATATATTTCCTTTTTGCATTTTAAATATATCGAACATACGTGATACAACTGAACTCTTACTATTTTATAATGAATTTGGTGTATTTGTGGACGAAAATGGCAGAAAAACTCGTGCTATTATGCCTCGTGCTAGTATAGAATCATTTACCTTTTGCTTTTGGTATGTATCATTTATGTAATTAAGCACATTAAATATACAAAACAGAGTCATATGAAATATAATAAGTAGAAAATTATAAAATATCAGACTATAAATATGAGAGATTATATAGTATAATAATCATCTAGAGAGTATATTACAGACATAAAATGTTACAAAGTATTTTTTTTTTTTTCTAAACTATAAGGATAGCAAGAAAATTCCTTGTGTTCCTTTTTAAGGTTTATTGAAGCATTTTAAAGAGAAGATAACATCACGCCAATCTTTGAAGGGAATATAAATGTTAAAGAAAAGCGTTTTTAAAATATTAAATTGAGGATCTCCTCAGGCTCATGAAGTTTATTAAACTTAATAAATGAATAAATAATTAGTCTTAAAGAGCCGTTTGCAGAATGTTGTGCGGAAAAT